GGCCGAAGAGGCGCACGCAGGAAGCATCCCTCACCCCCTCAACCATCCCCCATCCCCCGCCCTCGTCCCAGAACAAGCCGGCAGCAGCGCAGGGCCTGGTTGCAGCTCACCCAGTTCTTGCAGCGGCCGTGGGTGCCGATGACCACCTGTGGGGGGTGCAGGTGGGACAAACACGGGCCGTGCAGAGGTGGGTGTCGGGAAGGGGGGCTGGAGCAATCAGGATGGGCGTATTACAGGCGAGCTCGCGCAGGGCGATAGCTGTGAGTCAGGTCGCCACGCCGTTTTTTGTAAACGCTGTCGAAATGCGGCGAAGGGCTGGCAGCCTGCCCACATCACCAGAGGCGAATCCAAGGCGCAGCCAAAAGCCCCAGCCGCGTGCACACAGCTGGTGTGTCCCTATGTCACGCCCCAAACCCACCTGCTCCGTAAGCTTGGCTCGCCGCGCGACGCGGCGCCCGCCAGGCCCGCCGCCGCCGCCGCCCTCGTCGGCCGTGCTGACAGCCTGAGAGGGACACGCGCGCGCAGAAGTTTGGTCGACCTCTCCGCCGCTGCGCACCCCCATTACAAAGCTACCACGACGGCGGGGCCGCAGCAAAGGCGCCCTCCAGCCAAAGCGTGGCAAGCACCAAGCTGCAAGGCGCCCTGCATGGCCGCGCGACTAGCCGGCCGCCGCCTGCACCTGCACTCGCGCCACCCAGCTCAGCACCGCGTCACTCCCCCTAGTAAAGACACCAGCACTCGCGCCGCCCCGCTCAGCACCGCGCCGACCCCCCTTTAATAAGATGAGCCCCTCACCTTGATGGTGGTATATTTGGCCATGCGGCGTAGCACGTGGAGGTTCTGCAGCACCAGCTCGCGCGTGGGGCACATGCAGAGCGCCTGGGGCACCTGCAGTGCGGGGTCGACCCTGTCGAAGGCGCGGGGGCGAGCAGGGGTCACGGCGGGGTGCTGAGGTGACGAGGGGTTCATAACTACAGCCGAATGTGGGCGCATGATGCTGATTGATGATGCGACATCAGGTTGTGCAGGGGCAGCAAGCCGAGGCCAAGGAAGCTGGAGCATCAGTTGCAGCACTGACGCCCTGCGGGTGCTGCAAGTGAGGAAAAGCTGCCGTGCTGCGTGCCGGTTGGCTGCCTGTTATGTGACGGCCGCCTCCATGGATGGTTGGGCCCCACCTGCTCAGCATGGCCAGCACAAAGCAGGTGGTCTTGCCGCTGCCGTTGTGGGCCTGAGGACGGAGGGCAAGGGGGCGTGGAGGGTTCGCTCAAAAGAGCCGCGAGCCGCGGTGGGTCTGGTTCCGTTGTCGGCCGGCCGGCCGACGAGGCGTGCCGCCTGCGGGCCCCGACGACACGCCGTAGCAGGGCGTGCGGCTGAGCGGCAGCAGCCGCAGCGACTGCGTCCCGGTGTCAGCTCCCATGGCATGCATAGCGCCACGTAGGTGGTTTTCAACCCGCCTGCAGCCCGACGCCCCACTCCTCCCGGGCCTGCGCAGCCTCCCCTCAAAAACCACCACCCTGTCCCCACTCCCATGCTGACCTGTGCTATGAGGTCCCTGTACTGCCCCTGCTGGTCCGGCTGCAGGATCATGGGCAGGGTGGAGGCCTGGATGCTGCTGGGGTGGTCAAACTTCATCTCGCTGTACAGGCCCTGGGGGCGGGCGCGTGGGGAGGGGCCGTCAGGGGTGACCGTGCAGAGGGAGCGCCGTGTGGCGAGACAGGGGTGGCTGCGATGGCTGAGAAGGAGCGGGGCAGGCAGGACGCAGCTCCCCTGCCCTCACCAACACCCCGTCGCGCCCGCCGGTTGCCTCACCCGGCGGCTGTGCCGACCCCTTGCCCCTCCACCCAACGGGAGGCGCGCCATCCCGCAGCCCCACCCCCCACGGCAGCCCGACCCCCCTCCTCCCACCTGCAGCAGCTCCGGTGACAGCGGCAGGTCCTCAAACCTTTGGGCGCTCGAATATATGGCGTCCTTCGCATGGCGTCGGCGCGGAAAGTGCGGGGGAATGGGGGCGGCGTGCATGGTTGGATGCACTGCCAGGCCCGGCCAGTGGGACTCCATGCACTCACGCGGCCGGCAGCAGCACGCCGCCCTGGAGCTTCCAGTGGTGTCTGGGTGCGACCTTGGGCGCCCTGCAGGCATGCCTGCGCCCGCGGCGAAAGCTTGGTGTGCAGCGTGCCAGGCGGGCGCCCCTGCTGTCGGGCGCAAGCGGCGGGGGGGCCTGCAGAGCCGCTCGCAGTCATGTGCACCCAGCCAATCCCCTCACCCTGAACACACACACACACACACACAATTCACGAGACAAAACTTGCAAAGCTAACATGCAATCTGCGTTCGGGATCCCCGCACCTGTGTGATGGACTTGATCTCAGTCTCTGGGTTGACCAGCTGGTTGCTCAGCCTCAGGCTCAGGTCAGGCGCGTCGGGGGCGTTCTCGCCCTCGTCGACCTGGGGGTGCGTGCGCGTGTGTGTGCATGTGTGTGTGTGTCCATGTGTTTTAGGTGTGGATGATCGATTATTCATGTGACCATGGGTATTGCCGTGTGTGGATGTGAGCTTTGAGGGCAGGGATGGGAGGGGGGGCTCCGCAGGGGAGGTCGAGCGGCGCACGGCCGTCCCCAATCGCACAGCTGCTGCGGGCGCGGCTCCGGGCGACACAGGGGCAGGGGGGCTGTCGCCGCTGCTGGGCGCTCTGGCGCCGTGCACCACGCTGGCCCCTGCTGCCCTTGACTTGGACACACCACAGGGCCCCCTGCCGTCACACCCCACCTTGGCGCCCTGCTCCAGCTCAGCGGCGAGCTTGTCCGCCTGCTCGTCAGCCACCTCGCCTTTCTTCTCCTCCTTGTCATCGCCTTCCTTGGGAGGGGGGACAGCGACGGCCGCCGCGCCGCCGAAGCCGGCCGGCACCTCGTCGTCCCCGTCCGCCATCGCGCGGGCCCCCGCTGCTGCGGCTGCTGCCGCTGCTGTGGCTGCTGGCTGCGTCAATGGCGCTGCCGACGCGGCGATCGGCGCAGTCCTAGCCGCTGGAATGCAGGGGCAAGGGCTTTCTGGGAAGCTCTGTGACGCCTGGGGCGAAGGGGCTGAGTGCAATGACCTGCGTGTGCCAGCAAGCAGGGGCAGCAAGTCGTTGCGCCTCACTGCTCCTCACGCCCTGCTGCATTCGGGGTCCTTGCGCCCAGCGGCGTTCGGTACACGAGCAAGCATGTCACTTCAAGCTGTTTATAGCCACAATCGCGCCGAAAAGCCGCCATTTATAGGCGCCAAACAGCTCATGCAGGTGTGATCTAGCCAGCGCCGCTCGCCTTGTTGGTTGCTGGTCTGATGACCTCTGATTGTGATTTCAACTTTTATGTATGATGTTGAGCAGCAAACCACATTTCACTTTCACTGGCGTACTACCCATGTCATCGGTCGGCACCCGGTGAGTGGGCTTTGCAAGGGGGCGTCTACCATCTCATTTTGTTGGCATTCTCTCTCCTTTATCTGCAAATTTCTGCCATGCCACAGCCCAAGCGAAAGCGAACGATCCTGCAAATCGCGGGATCGGCCCCTGCAAAGCGGCAAAAGGCGGAGGCGGCACCCACTAATCGTATAAAGAAACATCAGCGCCGTACTGAAGGCGACGGCCCCCCTAAGCATAGCGGCGACCACAGCGGCGGCGGTGGCAGCGGCGTTCCACTCGCCGCCCACCGCGACGGCCATGCTTCGGCGACCCCCAGCGGCGACGCGCCCCGTGGCTGGCACTGCCGCTCCGTCATCGACCGTCAGGCGGCCGAGGCGGTCGCGCGGTTGCTGCAGGCGGCAGAGACACGCAGCAGCGGGGCGACCATCAAGTCGCTCACCCTGGCGCCCCACATCGTGCACAAGAAGCCAACCTTTGCAGTGACATGCGAGACCCTCAAGCGTGAGCGCACAGCACGCGCGCGATAGGCGCCACCGCGAACCGGCTGGCCGCTACGGGCCTGCGTGGCACCAGCTCCTCTCGCGCCGCAATGCTCGACGACGCCGTCATCCCTCACCCCCACCCCCCACTCACCCCCCCCCCACC